TCTCACTATCAAAAAGAAAGAAGAAGCCTGTTCAAAGATGTAAATATTTCATTAATGTTGATTTTGATTTTGATTATGGTTATCTTAAGGAAAAATTGGGGTACAATTGTGTTACAAAGGATAATGCTAGTAGTAATATATTTTAAAAAAAATTATTCTTAATTTGTATGAAAAAATAGGATATTTCTTGGTGTGTGTTTTTTTAAATAATAAGAATGTAAAAATAAACATGTACCAGTAAACATAAAAAAACACAATACCATTGTCTTTGTGTTGAAGCTATAAGCCTACATAATTTAGGATGAGAATCACTGCATTAATTCTACTCGATGATTTCTAATTAGCATGTAAACAATTTGTTAAAAATGGAAACACAATTTTATTTTTATTGAAGCTATTTTTAGCCTACATACTGTTTGATGAGAAACACTATAATAATTCTACTTGTTGATTTCTATTAAAGATGGCCTAAAACAGCTGCAAAATACTGCCAGTAACACGATCTAGATAGAATAATAATTACACAGAATCTAAAATGATATACACAGATATTATTTAACTTTCGGCTAAGGAATGCAAAATCATACATCAACGCTCTCTTGACTGCATCAGATATAATGATATAGGGTTACTTTGGAACAACTGCCTCAAGTAAATAAAACATATTGTTACACCGAAATAACAGAAACTCACTTTCGGGTTGGCAGAGGACGTAAATGCCCTCAAAACCCTCCGTTTCGCTGACTATTATGCCACCAAAACCCTCTACATCATCAAAAGTAAGGGGTTATCAAAATACAAAATTTAGTAATTGTGATTGAACAAGGTTAAAAAATTATATTTTTTTTTTATTGGGGGGGGGGGGGTCAATAGTACCTTCTCTCCATCTTGCTCTTGTAAGACGACATTGTGAGAGGTGGACACCATGACAAGTGCCTGTTTGAGGACAGCTAGGTATTCTTATTTTAAATTATTAACTCTGGGCTTAGAAATATGTCATTAGCTTTAGATGTTTTATTTTAAGTCATTACAATGAACAGTTAATAATTAGTCAATCTTGACTTGTTCCAACAACAGAAAAAAAACCTCTCTCTTTCTTCCCCTCTCCCATCATCTCTCTCTCTCTCTCTCTCTCTCTCTCTCTGCCCCTCTCTTCCCTTCTCTAATCACTTCAATCTTTCCCTACTTTTATTTCAATCTTATCATATTTCATAGTTGTGCAGTCGAAGTGTACGTCTCCTTTTATTTATCCACCACCCCTCTCGTATCCTTAAGTTCCTCCAGGCTTCTGTCAGACCAGGCCCATCCCATCTCTCCTCCCTACTATCTCATTTCCCAGTGTCATCCTATTCTATTTCAGACCATCAAAACACATGTAGGCAAACAATTCTTAGGGTAGCAACAACACCCTATTCCCCTAAGATAGTTTGGTATGCGTGGGACTGTGTGCACAGAAAACAGCAACCTGTAAAACCAATTTACAAGCAATGCGACTTTTGCTTTGTATCTTCTTCTTTTTCCGTTGTTCTCAGACTATAGGACGACATCACTTCCCACAGGATTTTTGCTGACTGTCTTTTTTATTGCAGCTCTATTACTTATATCAAGGCAAGATTAAATTATATATTATTTCATTATAATTATAATATTTTTTCATTATTACTATAATATTATTTCATTATTAATACAATATCATCCATTATTATAACAATAATATTCTAATACTTCTTATTATTGTTATAATCTATCATCATAAAGTATTATTTCATTTTGGAGGGGCTTTAATGCAAACCAATCATTTCATACAGACTTGAATCACAAATAAAACGTTTTAAAAGAAATTTGTATCACCCTTTTCCCAATGTTCAACTTGATACAAACATTATTTAATGGGATGTCCACAAATTTAGACAAAGCCTTATTGAAAGACGTTATTGTCTCACCTTTACCAAGTTCAAATGAGGTTACTCTATCCCTAGCACATGGAGCTGTCTTTATGTACCTCAATATTCTTATAGTTCTTGGTCTAAGGATTGTGGATCTGCACATATGGCACCCTGACAATAACACACATCCACTCCTAGGGACAATAAATCAGATGTCAGGCTTCAAGATTGCGTCCAAATAGGGGTGGGTAATGGCCTCTTATTGGTCCCCCAAGACTGGAAATGCAAGTGGAAATTCAAGGACTTGTGGGGACCCCAGAATGGAAGCCCAAAGGGTGACCACTCCTCACCTTTCTATTAAATTTGGACTTCCATTTTAAGTGGTATGCAAAAACAAAAGAAGTACAGACCTATCTGTCATAAGGAGATTTGATTCTAGGCTGTATATGGAATGAATATATCCTACCTTCAGACAACCGTCTGTTTAATAACAACAGGTAATCTTCTATTTTGTCCAATTTAGATAACTTACCCCCCCCCCCCCCCCCCCCCCCAATTACCTCTTTGAAAGAAGGAAAATGTCCTTCGGCCTCTAACTACAGCATATTGAGAAGTTTATATTTTTATGTTAACTTTTAGGATTTGAGATATATAGCTGACTTGTGTTAATTTATGTCCCCTCTGATCATTCTCTTTCAGAATTAATACAGCATCAACATTTTTCATCAAGGTATTTGTTTCTTTCATTCATTCTTCATGTGACAATCATTGAGGCACAAGCTTCCATCTTATACCACTATCTTTCTCCAGTTGTCTATTCCACAAAATTAGATTAGAAAGATAGGATTCCTTATCAGGTCTTCTCTGCACACACATATTTGTCATGACCTCCTTAGGACCTTGATATTTACCTTTCCTGGTTTTAGGAGCGCGAAACTAGAGAGAAAACTCAAGAATCCCGAAGACGTACCGTGGTTTAATATCATAACCTCCGAATTCGGCCCTAAACGGCACAACCTCTGGGCTTTTCTCAAATCTGTGTTGGTATTGGATCGGTAAAATATTGATGGAAACCTGATTTATTGGTGTTGTTACAGAACAGAGCCAACTCAAACAAGCAACAGGTATTTCAATATGTGGGACTGGTCATGGTGATGGTACTACAAGTGGGTTAATTGCTAACGAAGGAGCTATATGAGGTGAAACTTCTGAAAATTAAAATAAGATTTTAAGAGGTGTCTATAAGTCCTTCCAGAATTCATTGGAGCCATAAGAAATTTTCTTTAACTCCATAAAACTTAATACTATTTTTATAAAAAGTGATTTGATGTTTTTTTTAACTTCTTTAAAGTATGATCTTAACTGGGGCTCCACACTGCATTTTTTTTTCATGGGAGTTACCGACACAAATTTTGAAGGTATTTGTGCATGCAGTTTAAATTTGAGGTCTATATTTCACATATTGCCCATGTGCACCATACACTCCCATACATGGGTATACACTCTGAGATTGACTCCTGAAATAATAGCTTTAAATAGTTTGTGTTTCTTGCTGACAATCTTTAACCATCTCTGACAGAATCATTCCAAGAAATGATTTCAAACATCCTAAGCTATTTTCTATAAAAAGAAGTGAAGTGTTGCTGTTAGATCTTCAAAAGTTGACAACCACATATATCGAATCAGTAGAAGATTGAATCTTGCGCCTGATAACCTCTGCAAACTCTCCTCTACAAATGGTATCAGTCCAGAAATGCCGTTGATATCTTACAATCGTAGAAAAAGATCGACATACAGCATGGAAAATGTCAATCAAGTCTAGAAATATTTGTGGTGAATATTATGTTTCCTCTGAAGCTGTCACTTTGCACTCGTTGCAATGCACTTGAGTGAAAGGGAGATAGGAATGGCATCTTGAAAGGAAAGATTTTTGATGAAAAGTCAACTTAGAGTTTGCATTTGGGCATTGATGTGAAATATAAAATAGCAATGAAATATTAGCAATGTAGAGTCGATTGAAAATGATAACAATTTATCAAACAGTATCCTTATCGTTATTGTTTTGTTTTGTTCTTTTACTTGCATATTCATTTCAGTTTGTTACTTATTCTTGAAAAGGACAATCTCTTTTCTTCTTCCCTAATCTTCTTCTTTTTACCCCCCCCCCTCACTCTCTCTCTCTCTCTCTCTCTCTCTCTCTCTCTCTCTCTCTCTTTCACACAAACTCTCTCGACTTTTCTCCTTAATCAAAGTGCCTTTTGACATTGTTCATTATGATACAAACATAACATTTTTCTATAAAAAGCCAACTTCTATATTATAGTACACATTTAGAGCCAGATAATAGAAAAGCATCATTTTGACCTTGAATGTTAAATTTGAACTACATAAAAACTTGGACAGTTAAGGCTGGTTCAACCCACCTCTGGAAGTGGAGGGGTTAACACCTAGAGCAGCTTCATCTTTCATTGATCAAGCAAGTGGGTATGCTTGTGTCTATTGACCCGCCATGACTTGCCCATGACTTCAAGATGACAAGCCTCAGAGATGATTTAGATACATCTTCATATTGAGTGATACAAGAACAATCACGCATTCACGAACATATCATGAAACACCTTTGATGTAGAGATTAAATAGTTGGTACATTTGGTCAGTATCATGTAAGTGTCGACAAACAGTATCTGAGAATCAATGAAAGGCCTTAAAAATGAAGCATAGATCTGTTTTAAAAGTGACGTGATATTGCTGATCGTTTTCCATTCAGAATGCCATTTCTTGTAAGAATTATTGCAAATTGCCCAACTTCATTGATGTTAGTTAGTCAATTATTTGGTATATTTTTGTGAATCTAGACCGATCAGAAAAGTTAATGACCAAAAAGTATTGCAACTTATGATCAGCTGCTGAGTGCAAGAAAAGTTATGAAAAAGTTAACATAATTCAAATTTGCAAGTGCCCTTACCAGACTTCAGAGCATTTGATAACAAAAATTATAGTTCAATAATGCAAACTAAATAGACCATATTAGAGCCAGAAGTATATAATCCCTGTTTATGCACTTCTGGATCGCAGCGGACAATATCTGAAATGGGTATTGAACCGTTGACCTACCTGACCGAGGTCTAGCGTGATTGTGACCCAGTGGTATTGCATCCCGTTCGCTATGCTTGGACTCTGCCACCAGCTTTCAGTCCCGTCTATTGCATTTTGTATCGGGTGCCGGTCCGCTTTGACGAAACCCTGAGCATTGCACACACGGCATTGTGGGTAGTCTTCGGACTCGTTGGGCACATGTTCTACCAGCTTGCAGTATGTCTCGGGGCCCCGCTCCCCACAGGTCGCATTCACAGATATTCGCCCTTGTGTGGCCAGGTTGAAGATGTGAGGAAAGAGTCCTGTGAAATAACAAAAAAAGAGGAACAAGTTATAGATTTCATCTTTTACAGACGTCCTCAATTTCTTGTTATAATTTTATTATGTGCAAGTGTATTTAAATAGTTACCAGAAAAAATGAATTATGAATGAAAAAAATGTAATACTTTGTTTATCTTTCTGTTGGAAATGAAATAAATATGAATTTAATTGAATTGAATGCTTGTTGATATGTAAATGAACAAAATAGGTCTTGGATCACCTTGGATCAGTGATTGGAAGATTAAAATTTGTAAACACACTAAGACATAAAAAAGTGTAACTTTGGATTGTATTCAATCGTTTTTATTCATCTTGATGGACTATCTACATCTACAATATCACAACATTAGTAATCATGATCTAAACATCATAATGTAGGCCTACTGTAAACCAAAATATACATGTACAAGTAGATTCTATTTTGAGCTCCTCCACAATTTTTCCAAAAAAAATTCGAAGCCAGATGCAACCGTGAAATATCACTATCACTATCAAATACCAGGGAGATAAAGAATAGAAAGAAGTTCGTCGCAAGAAAATAGGCTTGTAGAATGATGCAGGCAGACAAGGAAAATAGGCAAGTAAAATGATGCAGGTATATATCGAATAATAGAAGTAATTTCATCACAAGAAAATAGGCTTGTAGAATGATGCAGGGAGATAAAGAATAAAATCATTTCATCACAAGAAAATAGACAAGTAATATGATAAAGGGAGATTTTTTTTAAAACAAAGTAATTTCATCAGAAGAAAATAGGCACGTAGAATGATGCAGGGAGATAAAGTAATTTCATCACAAGTACATAGGCTTGTAGAATGATGCAGAGAGATGTAGATGAGACATGGCAGGGGACCACCCAGCTCTCTAAGGAGCGGTTCATCTGATTGATGAAGAATGAAGAGGGAAGAGGTCATTACAACATCCATCTTCCTCTGAGATGGAAAACACCTCCGACTCACAGCCTCTCATCAAGGCTCCAGGATCATGCACAAAGAACAGTGGATTGTTACAGTTACGATTTCATCCTCCTCACTTCTGACACATGTTAATTTTTCTTCAGATATTTTGTTCACTGATGCCATCCCCACCCCCCCCCCCCCCAAACTTCCTTATCTCTATGTTTTCTCCAATTATTCATGTGAGGTGCATCATTCTACCCCCCTTCCATTTGATGATCTTCAATTCTCCCTCATCTCTTCGAAATCATATACCTGTACAAACTGAATTAAGTGTAAATGAGGATATTTCTTAATTCTTATCCAGTGCAAGTATAATATATCAGATGAATCTAGATACTATTGCTAAGTTGGAGCATTTCTTTTGAAGTCTCTTATCAACATATTGATATAAATGTTACTTAATGTGATCAGACCTAATCATCATTTCATAGCTACATACAACTTTTTACGAACGATACAGAACAAAACTTGACACTTTTTCCCCCCAAGAGGAGATACCCTGGGCTGTGGGCACCTATTCCAATTTACTGAAAATGCCTCCAGCCTTTGATGGAGCCTAAAGTGTCCAGATTGATGAATTACTTTTGACATTTATGAATGGTTTCCAGTACAGAAAGCTGTCCAATCCCCTCCAATATACTTTTGTTTCCTAACTGCAAAATCTCAACAGATTTAGGTAAATTTATTGCATTAACTTTTATTGAGCCCAACAAAATCCACTTTGATCTTGCCTTCTGCAACTGATTTTTTTTCTGAGAACCAATCCTGCTTGTTAAATCTCTCCAGCTTACCCTTAAACAGGGGATAAAGTTGGTTTTGTGGGAAAGTATTAGAAATTGTTTATTGTGATGAGGACAAATCATATCTTTGAAATATGATCTATTAAGTCCTGATACAAATCAGACCTGGCTCAGTGGTAGAGCAGTGATCTCGTAACCTGGAGTACCCGGTTTCTTAACCAAGTCGATGCGCTAGTGCCCTTTGGTAAGGCATTAATCCTCATTACCAAGTCCCTCGGCTCTGACTTAAAGCATACACATACTTTCTTAGCAGTCGGGTAAAACAAGCAAACAAACAAATGTTTTTAGAAATAAATGAAATATTATTGATATGGAAGCACAAACAGGAAATACTTTCTCATATATTGTAAATTACGATATAGTAAATTAGAAATGTCTCTGTATTTCTAAATTTGTAGATATTTGCATTTAATATGTTTAAATTGTATGTATTTGTTTTGGAATTATGAAATAAAATCATGAATATGAATCACTTAGCACATTTATTATCCCTGTCTTGGCCTACAACCTGGCTCTGATTGACCCAGGTTAGAAACTGAGTCATGTCTCACCGATAGTAACATACATGGATGTTCCCCAGACATTTAAAAAATCATATATCATCTGTGTGCAGCCGGAAGGGCGTTACATCTGAGTAAAATGATATGATTTAATACCCTTCTGGCAAAAACAGACAATACGAATGATACAAACACATCTGTCAAAATCTAATTGCACACAAACATTTATTCGCTGAATCTGAATTCCTCTTTTAACTTCAATTTGGAGAACAACTGCATGTTTTGTAACCTGGCTAAGTTGTAAATGTCTCCCTGGTAAAATAATACCAACGTCACAAATTGGGAGTCAAGCCTGAGAGGGGGTTCACAGCAACTGCCATGGTGTAAATATCTGTGTCAAGTTCATTCAAAATTAACCCTAAGGTGTTAAATTTAGGAGTAATTTTGGCCTCAAACCCCACTTTCCATAGCAACATGTAACCACTAGCAAGGGGCAGATTGTCAAGTCAAATTGGTCCCAAATCAGTCCCCGGTTTGTCTGTAATTGACAATGTAAAGCAGGTTGCATGGTGCAAATTTCCAGATAAATTCGGTCCCAAAGTTGACACCTTTCTCTAAATCTGTCCTTGCAACTATCTCAAGCCCCTATTCCCATAGGGCCTATCATCTGATGTGTCATCTATTTTTCCAGTTGTGATGGGTATTTAAGGGAAATTACCCTCTGATTTGACCCCAAAACAGGTGAATTGAGATTGTAACAATCGCCATTAGCCTGTGTAAGCATGTGCTCCACTGCAGCCTATTTGATTTCTACTGGTGACAGAGTATCATTCGTAGACTTTGAAATTTCAGCTGCTGGTTCGAGTTATTGAGCCCAAGCCGTGAATATATTGGTGGAACCCAAGGCATAGGAATTGTGTAGATCCTGCCCATTATGAGAAACAACTTGGATACACCGTCAGAAATTTTCATGAAATTCACACAGACATTATCAGAATATGTTAATCATCTCCCCACTACCGCTCTTCCCCCCCCCCCCCTCTCTCTCTCTCTCTCTCTCGCTTCCTCTCTCTCTCTCTCTCTTTCCCCTCCTCTTCTTCCTCTTCTTCATCCTCCTCTTCTTCCTCCTCTACTTCCTCTTCTTCTTCCTTTTCTTCTTCCTCTTCTTCTTCCTCCTCTTCCTCTTCTTCTTCCTTTTCTTCTTCCTTTTCTTTCTCATCCTTCTCTTCATCTTCCTATTCATCATCATCACTATCATCATCATCATCACCTTCCTCTTCTTCTTCCTCCTCCTCCTTCACTTCATTCCCATCATCTTCTTCTTCTCATTACTCTCTTTTTATCTATATTTTTGTCCCATGCCATCTCTTCTTTCTTTCTTCCCTCTCCTTCTTCTGACTGACCCCTACATCCCTAACTCACCCTCAAACTTTTACCCAACAAACTTTATTCCATTACTACAATCAGAACAAACTTTACACTCCAGTCAAACTTAATTGGTGAACAAACTTCAAATCACACACTCCCTGTCAATATTTAGTGCACTAACATTTTAACAGCCACACAAAACGTGAGAAAAGTTCAAAAAGTGTCTTAATGAAAATGTTTGACTTTGGTTTCAACCTCGTTTGTCTGAGCTATGCTAGGTTAACAAGCAAGAGCAAATTCAATTGGTTCATGGGCAAACATGGAAAAGGGAGTAAATGTGTGCCTTTCTGAAACCAATGTATTCAAGGGATTTACCTCGGAGAGTTTGTTTAAAGTCGATGATGAATACTACAGTCGGCGCATACAAATCGGCCTAGGCCTACATCTTTGATCAAAATTTCAATATCAAATCAAACTCTCTTTCTCTCATTTTGTAGGTTCCTTCTACCTGACAAAGTTAAATGAGAGAACGATACAGACTTCTTTTTTTATACTGATGAAGTTACCAAGATACTATTTAATTCAATGATCTAATTTTTGTATACTTATGAACCTCAACAATGAGCTGCGAGTTTGAATCGTACCATAATTTGGAATAAGATAAGCAACAAACATGTCTAAAGAAGTTAAAATCTTCATACAGTGTGTCTACTTAAAGGGATTGGGTATCTTTAAAGGAAAATTTCATTTTTTAAATGTCTTACCTATATAATTGTGTACCATGCCTCAATGTTTCAGCTGATGATATTTCTGCCAGATAATTTTATAACCCATTGCCTACTTAAACCATATATTCCCTGTATTGAGCTTGTTAGAAGTAGATAATTTAGTCATTAACAGATTAAAAATTTTAATTTTTAAGAGGTGAATTCAAAAAGGTACATTTTATAGCTTATATCCTCCAAAGAAGGCAATTTGTATTATAAAATATGCTAGAAAAAAAGAAGAGACTGGCTGAAAAGATTTCATGGATAACAATGACTAAGCATATTGGACTGAAAGAGGAAATTAAGAGTCATGAAAAGTGTCCGGTATCGAAGAAAAAAAGAAAGGAGGAACAATTCTGAACTGCAGACTTCCAAAACCAAACAAAGCAGATTTATTTTTGTTTTGTCTTGCATCACTCTCTCTCAAAGCTTTTTACTTGGCAATGAGGTGGTATAGGCAGTCTAGACCGGATCATATCAATCAAGAACAAGAGACAGATAGATAGACAAAAGGGGTAGAGAGAGAGAGAGGAGGGGACACATACAGAGAGGGAGAAAGAGAGTACAAGAGGGAAAGATTAAAGAAGAGACCCTTCACCAGAGGGAGAGAAAGGCAAACAGTCACACCATAGATTTCTTCAAATCTTAATGGAAAGACCTATTCCATGTTCGCAAGTA